TGTATGATGATTGTGTTCTTTTAGAAGTTTGTTTTTTTTTTTAAATTTCTAGTGTAAAACAATGAAACGCCGGTGAGCACCAGAACCCTACAGTTACTATAATATTATAAAATCGTCTAATTTGTATTATACAAGACATTTTGTAGACCTTTTGTATATATTTTCTTTAATAATATTTGTTTAATTTATCAATTTTCCTTTTTTCCCGGTTGTTCACATTTGCTGTGAAAAATCTTAGGAAAATCGAAAAATACTCTCTCTACAGTACCTTTCCGGTCAGATTTCCTTATCGGAGCAAAATTTCTTGTAGAAAAGTTGTTCATAGGAAAAGAAAAGACCGACAAATTATTCAACTAATATCTGCATTTCGTACATTTTTCCATTTCTCCTCCGTTTTTTTTTATTATTATAGCGAACACGACATTTTTATTGAAAGATTTGTTTGCAGTGTGGATATCGAAAAGTTGACTGCCAGCTATAGATGAGTACGTTTTATGAAATTTTGAAATTTCGAACGCATTGACATAACTAACAATTCTATTTCAAATATTTTTGTAAAAAAAAAAAATTGAACATATTCAGTAATGAATTCATATAATATATTCCCCATTTATATGTTATATTAGTATTTTTTTTTTTTTATCACATTATTTTAAAAAATGCTTACAAATGTAAAAAAAAATCAAAAGAAAAACAGTCAGATAGCTTCTATATACAAATACGTGAATAGGTGTTTTAAAGGTTACACTATGAAATCAACGAAAAATTGAGTGACTCCCTTCCAATTCCAGCACTAGACTTTGACATCTTTTTTTTTCAGACATTAAAAGGTATACTACATTATTTTCTGGAGCAATGCCACCGAACGAAATTGAAATTGATAATTCGAATCATTTAAATTATCCATCACCCACCTTTATTCCAATTGACCGTCCCTATGAAGTAGTAACCGGCGAAATTCCGAGGGTTTTAATACACTTACACCACTGATTATACTGTTTTAAACCGGGGGAAAGAAGTTACTGAATAATTTACAGATTTGTCGAAGATCGTTTTGTATTTCAATTCAATCTTCATTAGTTGGTATGGTATACGTATACTAATACTGTTCAAATTGTAAACGGATTTCTTAAAACTTTTTTAAGACTATTTTATGCTAAAGTTCTGCGATGCATAGGTGTATATATTAAAGTTAAGACGTCGCTTTTCTTGCCCGTCCACTTCTTTACCCGCTCACTTTTTGGGAGCGGAATTGTCAAGCAATTCAAATGCCGTAAAACTTTTCTAAAAAAAACCGCACGATTTGCGTAATGTTAAACAAATATTATAATAATAATATTATGTTACAGGCTTTTGCATGGGATGCGTACCGTGAATGTGATAAGTATTCGTATAAACGTTTTCATTTTTTCCTGCTAGTTGCAGCAACGCGGATATTCACGCGGTATTTTCATGTTTGTGTATTTTTTTTTCTTTTCCTGATAACGAGCAAGCGAGTTTTATATTTTTCTCGTGACGTCTCTCAGGACGGAACGGTACATATAGGTACCTGGGTACGTACGTATTTATTATTATTGTATTTTTTTTTTTTTTTTGTCTCTTCGAAAAAGTAAATTGTGTTGTTACGCGGTGGCATCGCGAGAAGAAAACGACGTGTCCCAACCCCTCCGTTTCCGCCCGCCCGCGTCAATTTGTCTGAAAAGACGAAGGACCGAGGCGCACACACGTCGGGCTCGGGACACGTACGGTTTTATCATAATAATAATAATAATGAACGCTCCGGGGACCCGGCCGTGCGAATTTCACTTTTATTGTCGCGTCAGGGCAAATTAACCGTCACTCGGCGACAAAGGTCGCAACGGCTGTATACGGTTGTATTATTATTATTATTATTATTATTATTATTATGTACGCGTAAGAATTGCACGACGCGCGAGCGAGTGTGTTCCCGAGTAATTTCCTTTCAACAAACAAAAAACCGCGAGAATTCGCGGGCGCCCACGGTAAATTGACAATTATTATTGTTTTTCGCGGGTTTCGTATTATGATAATCGAAAAAGATAAAAGCCCGTCGCCGCCCACTCCCCCGAGAACAAATGTATATTATTTTAATGTGTACCTACACGAAAGACCAAACTCGACGCACACGCGTAGGTACTTATATATAAATAATATTTTTGGTCCCCGAAAAGAAAGGCTTAAGTTGATTTTCGTAAATTTTTTTACAATTTTATCATATGTAATTTGTTTCCCTTAGTTTTTCTATATAATACTTATCTACAACAAGGATTGGAGCTATACATACTTTAAAATAAGTATTCAAATTGTATAAACGTAAACAACACTAAGGACCGTGAATTCAAACCCAACATTGCATACAACCAGATTGAGCTGGTTAGAGCACAGACATATAATGTAATGAATCGTGTAGGTTGCTTGGTGATACAGCGATAAGTTTCGATCCACCATTTTAATTAGTGGGCTGTAAGCTTCATCGTCCACTTTTATATTTATATTACTGCGGTAACAATAGTAAAATGACTGATTGTCATGAGTTACAGTTATCACAATAATATACAAGTATATAATAATATAGTGGGCTTCCAATTAAATGGCATTATTGGAATAGCAACATCAACCAGAAGCATTAGTGCGATATTATTAGAAAAATAGAAATATCGGTTGGTCACTCCATGAGATGGAATTCAATGTACTCTTATATTTCTCCATACACACGAATAAAACGCAGCACGCCGTGCCACCGCAACAAATAATACCTCACTACTCTCCCGCTATTAAATCTTAAAAGTGGAATATATCGTTAACGGATTGACGGAAATCAAAAATATTGACAACAAAATTTATTTAAAATAATGCTCCGTCTATTTATGAAATTGTTAATATAGTTTCTCATTCGAAAAACTAAAATTGGTATCATCACGGGATACATCTTAAACGTTTTAAAAAATCTAAATATTCGAAAATATTATTGGCTTTAACTACACTTAAAAATTCTAAAAATCAGAATTTAAATACAAGTTTAATCAAGCATATGGGGTGAATACGCTTAGCAAACCTTCCAGTATATATTACACCCCAAAGGGTAATTTGCCCGATTCATGAAATGGACATTTTTTGTGAAATGGCTCAGTAAATTGCCCAACTCATATAGAATGGTAAAGATGACTATTAAATTGTATGAATTGAACCAAACTATTAATAATATACAAATATTTTCAATATTTATAATTATTGTTTGGATACAATTTTTAAAAAACTGCGAATGAATATAAATTGGTTATTATTACTTATTTATTACTTATTGTTTATTGTGCATATATTTATATATCATGAGTAAATAGATAAAGTAGTTGTATAACTTTATATTCTGAACAAAATATTGGTAGTTAATAATAAATTAAAAGAGCTTATACTAGGGACGGGTGTGTCACTTTTGTAGGTAGGAAGTTGGGAAGATAGGATACATAGAATTAATTAACTTATATTTGTAGGGAGTGAGGTAAAAATTCACAAATTACCACGTTTAAAAAGAGTTTTGAAATTTTAACTAATTTCGTCCATATCCTCCCTTTGAAATTCAATTATAACCGCAACTGATTAACCGTGCCTATCCGAAATAGTTTTTGTAATAAATTTAAGTCCCGATACTTACTCACTGCACAGGTATCTTTTATTATTGTATCATTGTACGACGTAGCAGATAAAATATTCCCCAACATCTATTATATGCAAACAACATTTTGTTAAACGATCACGGTAATACACCCCTGACGGGGTTCTCATTACTCTCGACATCCTTTGGCTTACGCGTTTATAGTATTTAGACTGCCATCCGTTTGTCAAATTCATTAATTTGGCTTTACGTTATCCTTAATTCCATGTTTAATAATTCTTCCTTGCAGTTACACATTTTTCGGCTCCTTAAAACCGTATTTTTGTTGTAAATTCCCAATTTATAATATACACGAATAAGTATATAAAATATGCACTCTATAAACAAAAATACTACATTTTAAATATCTCTGAACAAACCAAAAATGTATAAAAATATAACGAATGTTTTTATTTTTATTTTGCAGATAATATGTACGATGGGTAAATCATCATCGTATGTGAAGTGGTTATCACTGAATCCAATACTTATTGGAAACAATATACAAGGCAAAAACCGGATGCATTTTAATTATTATTAGGCGATAGAATTATAATTCCTTCGAGGTATAATATAATAATAATTATTAGATAATATAAAATAATAACTGAAATAAAACCTTCAAAAGAAAAGTTTGATAACTTAAATAATATCAGTAAAAATGCTCAGATATTTTCATGTCATGCTTTAAAGGATACGGGATTCTCTATCTCTTGGTATTTTATTCAAAATTTATTTCTGTATTCTCAAGCTAATCTCCTAGTTTTTTTCCTGGTTAATATAAATCCTCCAAATTGTTTTCATTGTACCTTAAAACATGCGGATGACCGGTTTATTTTAACATTTTTATTTCAAGGTTTTAAATACTTAAATTTAAAAAAAAAAGAACTGATACTGGGGATGGGAGGGGCCACTGTTGTAGGTAAAAAGTTGAAAAGTTAGGATACATAAGGTTATTTCATTTAAATTTGTAAGCAACAATGAACTATTTCTTGACAAAAAACGATTCCAAGTGCAGTTCGGTAATACATAATTTTTGCAATTTTCGTTTAAATTTGATTTCAAAACGCGTATTAAAAAAACAAAAAAATCGTCTGATAATTTTGGAAATTTTACCACGTAAGTCTAATATAAGTATTATTATCATGTTTCAAGTCTCTACGTGTATTTATAACCGAATTACAGCGAAAAAACTCCCAAAAATTAAAATTTCTTAAAAGCTCAAAAGTGGCTCAAAAGTTTTTGCAATGATACTGTTAGAAAGTAAATCCAAAAAGTAAAAAAAGGTATCTTGTGATTTTTCGATTAAATCATTTTTTCTAATAGAAAACGTTATCCATGTTTTTATAAAATAATGAAATCGTGAAATTTTACGTTTCCTTGTTTTTTCCACTTAAGTGTTTTTATTTGAAAGACGGCGTCGAAAATCAAAAAATTACTTGTTTAAAAATTTAGACAACTTGAGTTTTCAGAAAAATTGTTAAACGTAAAAATCAAAGCAAGTTTACCAGGAAAAAACGTGTCCACAGTCTAGAAAAAAAAAGAAAGAAAAAAAAATAAACATCTTGGTAAAACCAATAGCTCCTTCGCTAAGCTCGGAATCTAAAATTAACAAAAATTAAAATGTTCTATATTGGTTTAATTTTTCGATAGTTTAACAATTTTCAGCTCGTTAAATTATCGACTAATACATTCTAAAATGCCCACCTACAATAGCGGCCTACCCATGGTGCGAAGTTTGTCAGGTGTTTTAGTATTAAAGATGAATAAAATATATCGTATAATGCAAACGTATTATATACCGTATACAAATTATTATTGAATTGAATCTAAAATATTTCACACACTGCTCTCCTCCTTCCTCCTACATATCACATCACAATTACATTTGGTATTTTATATTGTGAACTTCTATTAATATGAACATTTTCCAATTACCACTGCGGGGATTCCTGCTACTGCAGTAACGTTATGATTGTATGCATTCATAAGGGTTTTCGATCCAGCACCAGATGTGTAAAATCGTTCGAGTGCACTCGTATTTCCGCAGTCATAACACCCTTTGACCATCAAAACACGCCCCCGAAAACGCTTTCGGTTGGCCGCACTATACAGTTGTCCGTTGACCAATCGCACAGTCGATCGCGTTTCAAGTAATATATTACACAACACGCAATATAGGTACTGTAACACTTGACTTTTATGTATACGTGAACAAAATTTTATCTTTAAAATGTCTCCCCCCCTCTTACTTCCAAAATCGAAGTCAATATTCGTTGTCGACAATGGTTTTGATTAAAACGCGTCAGCGTATAACTATAGGTACTGATTGAAAAATAAAATAATACTCTCCTCGACGAAACAAACAAAAATAAAAAATAGATTATTTTGAAGTACTTTAAAGTATAAGTCCTTATAGGACCATCACATTGTATATAAGTACCAATATATACTTAATCGAATAGATACGTTGGTTTGTTTTACTATGTAAAAATTATATAAACTGTCGTTTAAAAAAAAAAAAAAAAAAAAAACGGGTCATTTAGAGTACCCGTATAGTATAATATGGGCGTTTTATAATATTTCGTTTATACGGTCCTCCCGAGTGATTTATATGAATAATTTTATTCCGCAAAATATAATAATATACCTAGTTACACAGAGTTGACGCCGCGTTTTACAACTGTATTACTGTTGTACGTGTGAACCATAGAGCAATAATATGTGAACGTTACATTTATTATTATATTAAGGATTCAACTCGAAACATATTTTATAGGAATATGACTTGAGGGCGGAACATAGGTCATGGTTTTGTTTGCTCGAGTTCAAAGAAGGAAACAAAACCGTATCACGTGATGTTTCCGTACCGCGGAACGTTCGCCGCATCGCACGGCTATATTATTGTAATACAAATGAGAAACATCGAATCCTCCTCGTTATGTATTCGCAGCGCATACCGAGTAATAAAATTAACTAAGTCGCAGTGTATAACGTCGTCAATGTTTATATTTCGTATTTGAATAGCGACGAGAATATATTATAATAAATCGGACAAATCGGATGAATCGAATGAATAATAATATACCTGGGTAGCTACATGCGCGGGATTACCAATAATATGTGAGGCGCGAGTCGTTTGGACACCGAACACCGAGTTTCGCAAAACTCACAGTCAACTCGGACACCAATTTCGTTATTATGAAGTTATTACCAGAGCGCGGAAACTGTAGTACTTAAAATTCTCAAAAAAGCGCTTGAAAATATTTTAAATAGCAAAATTTGTAGAGAGGTTTTTAAATACAATTATGCGTGTTATAAAAAAAAAAAAAAATCATTTGTGTTAATCATTTTCGTAGTGTTCTTAATGTTAATATGTACGAGCCGTTAGACGGGGGACTTTTAAACCCCTTTACTATTTTTGCTTTTTAAAATATATTTTTACTGGTTTTTTGACGTTTTTAATCGCTTTTTTGTGGTGTTAGGTGCTAAAACTCCCGAGTACTATAGTTATTACCACCTAAACAACTAGTTATTAATTAAATATAGTAAATAAATATGTAAATAAAAAATGTATACACAAAAATAAAATAAATGAATGAATGAATGAATGCGTCGCCTGGAGTATTATGATAAGTGTATTATACGACCGGTTTCGAATTAAAAATTCATCAACCTGGTATATCACAGTCAAAATGTAAAAAAAATTAAACAAAGGAGAACACATAAAAAAAAAAAAATCATACAATTTGGTCGTTTTACGTAGAATATAGAAATAATTTATTTTAATAGAAGAGATTATTTAAAATTAGTTATTATTAAACATAGATATGTTAAAAATATATATTATTTGGTTATTTTTTATTGTCTAAAATGTATTGGTATAAGATATTATTTTTAAAATCGGTTTGAACATTTAAAATATTAATACAATTATTATTCTTTATTTCGTTGTGTATGTGTTATTCTTCTAAAACTGAATTAATGTAAATGTTATTTTGGGTATTTAATATTTCTAAGTCTGTATTTTTATCGAAACGTATATTATGGTGTTATTTTCTAAAACATGTTTAGCAAAATTTGAATTAGGGGCAGTATTTTTTAATTTTATTTCAGAAATGTGTTCTTTATACATTATTTTAAAATTTCTATTTGTCTTACCCGTATAAAATTTATTACAGTTACATTTAAGTTTATATATACTAGCATTTTTAAAAGAAGGGGGATTTTTTGTGAAGTTTTTAGTTCTATTGTGTATATCTTTGATTAAATTATTATTAGTTTTAAAAGCGATTTTTACATTATTTGTATTACCTATTGTTCAGAATTTTAGCGGATTCGTTAGACATATTATTTTGACATTTCATACTACAATAGTTAACATTGTTTTATTTTTTCTTTAATACGTTTATGACATTGTTTAATAGTATTTAAATTTAAATTATTTCGATGGGCTATATTATAGACAATTTTGAGCTCGTGTTGATAATTATGTTTATTTAATAGAATACGTTCAAGCCTATAGAATATTTAATTAGAAAATTATATTTTTGAGAATTCGGGTGATTAGAAAATCATGTGATATCAGTTAGCATCGGTTAGGTAAATATAGCATCAGTTTGTATAGATTTGTATGATTAACTATTCATGTTAATAAATGTAACTGATATATTTTCTAATGACTCTTTTGGCACCAGTTAAATGCAAAAAATGTATATACCTACTTAGGTCCATTTACATCAGTATAATATTATTGTACATTAGAAATCCGTCGAACAGTCCACTCGGTGGACGTTAACAATATTACTAAATAATTATCTCACTTACTGCCGTTCCTCAATCTCCTTTGATTTTCACTTGTCGATTAATAAAACATTTAACAAAATATCAAATTTATGATTCCAATAATTTTTCATAAGGGACATTATTTTGATGAAAAAAAAGTGTACTCGTATTTTATAGCGATATTGACTGTAAAATTGACATAAAACTCGCAAAAGCCTGTCGTAGGTATGATATGTTTATTATCCATTCATATAAAAATCCCGTTTAAATCGCTCTACCATTTTCATTTTTAGTTTTTTTTTTTTTTGCGTTTTTAAGAGTTTTTTTTGCGGATTTTAAGTATATAATAAATCCGGTCCCTAATTATGACGTCAGGTATTTAATGGAATTGAAAAAAAAAAACAAAAACCCCGTACTACGTTATGCAGACTCGATGTTTCCGTAGGCAAGTCGAAACGGACGGGCGTAAAACGACAATAATTACGTGACACGACGTAAGGGCGAGCCTCGGATATAGCCCTCCACGAGGGCGAACAGTGATTAACCGATCGTTGCACGGTTCGGAGAGCCAAGTGATACAGGCCTCGGGACGAAAGAAATATGGCGGCCATTAGGCTGCGAACGGATTAACTCCGACGGCGGCGTTCAATTATTCCGTCCGTGACACTGATAAAGACCGACTTTACGAGGTTTCCGCCGTCGCCATCAGCATACACAGCAGTCTGCAAATTTAATCGCCTAAACTTGTACGGGCGCTCGAAAAGCGTTCTCCTCGAGAACCGACGGCGAAGTTGAATCGAAACACCCGCCCCTCGATCCTAAAACCTTTTCTCGTCCACACCCCTTCCCCTCGGTTAGATAATATAAGATGTGTTTTGGCCGTTAACCCGGTTATATTTGTTATCAAGCGTATTTATACGATTTTGATTAATCGCTATAAATTCACGAAAATGTGTTTACCATGGTAATGATTATTGATTACAATATATTAATTTTTCACACATTTGAACTGAAGTTATTATTACACGATAGCCGATACTTTCTTTCAAATAACACTATTTCCGCGGTTAGTATGGTTTATTGTCAAAACGAAATTTAAAAACGACTTCATCTGCCACTATAAAATACATAAATACGATTTTCATACATTTGATCATTTTACACAATAATATAATATCCATTTCATCGAATAACCAAACATAACCATTAATTTTGCTCGATTATGATGCTTCGTGGTAACCTATAATCAAAGTTTAGAACCAAAATAGAAAACGAAATCGCCAAAACGACGTGTTTATATAATAATACCGGTATGGTACGCCAAAACACGCCTGTTATTGTCCCGTCTGCGTATTACGATTATAACTATTATGACCACGCAATTATATAAAATCTTTAATAAGTCGGTTAACTAGTCGATTTGGTAATACGCGTCCCGCCTCCCGCCCGACGTTGCCAAAAGAAATACAATCCAACAATGAGCTAAAAGTAACCAGTTTCTATAGTAACTATACCGTTCGTTATGCGAATACTAGCGACAACTATTATGTCCCTTGCAGAGAAAACCCAATTATTTATTTTTCGTCTTAACTTTTTTCTTCGTCTGTATCACCAAGGTCACCAACAATCGACAAAAAAAATTTAAAAAAAAACAATCGGTTTTCATATCAAAAATACCAATAACCCCGTGTCAGCGCCCAATATTAGACGTCGGACTCGGGCGTAGGGAGTAGGGGGGATGGATAAATAGCCTATACGGTATTATTGTTATACAACAACAACCATGTAAATTTCAGCCAAATCCGTTCAGCAGTTTTGGTGTGAAGGTGTAACAAACATCCATCCAAACAAACTTTCACGTTTATAACATTAGAACAGGAATAGGATATGTCTGCGCGTAGGATAGACACCGACACGACCGGTATTAACAATATTGATTTACAAAA